TTTTTTTTTTTTTGGTACTGGGGATCAAACTTGGCACCTTGTGCTTGTGAGGCAGGTGGCGGCACCACTGAGCTAAATCCCCGGCCTGATATTGATGATATTTTTAATGACCACCCCACATGGAAATTAGTAGATTTCCATAGAATATCATTTCAATGTTAAATTATACTGCAAGTCAAACGTTATTTGGGGCTTATCTAGACTCTCTTGGGGACATTTTCAAACTCCTATAACTTTATAAGTCTATTGTGGGGATGTCAGGTAAATGTTTCATTTTCTTTTTATGGTTAATTCTATGAATATATTTGAAAGAGGCTTTTGGAAACTTTGGTTGGGATAGGTAAGCAGACAGGTATGATGTGTAGGCACAAAATAACTTTCATTCTCTTGAATATTTTTGTCATATTTTTATAATATTGTTCAGTTCCCTCAGGCCCTCACTTTTTGGTTCTCAGGATTGAACCTATGGCCTCTTGCTGGTAAGTAAGTCCCGTACTACTGATTTCATCCTCAGTTGAGCCCATTTAAAATGTGAAAGATACTTAATATGTATCAGCCTAGACTAGTCATGATATTACAATTATTAAGGCCAGGTAATGGGTATATGGGTACTTATGTTACCACTCTTAACTTTGTAGATGTTGAAAACTTTCTGTATCCTTTATTCTGTCTCATAGATTCACATTTACTAATAAAAATATACAAACATAAAAAGTAAAACACTTTTCTATACTAAAATTTTAAAGATATATTGGAGAGCTTATTAGCAAGTATTAGAGCACACATGTGTGTGTATGTGTGTGTGTACACAAGTGCCTGTGTGTGTAGGGGAGAGGGGAAACTAGGTAACCTCAGTTGTTTGATTTTTTGGCCCCTATACTTCTATACTTCAGTGATTCTGGATGATGGTAACAAAAGTAACTATTGCAACATGAAGTTTTGCTCCAGCAGGACACTTTGCTTAAAATTTCCCAGTCTCATTATTTCAAACTGTAGCTAATTATTTTGTAAGGAAAGTTTATTGCAGAACAATTCTCTGGCCATTTTTATCTCAAGTGCCTCTTAAGATTATCTCTATGCACTGCAACATCTACCAGGACACAGAAAAATTTTGATGTCTCGTGCAGTATTGTTTCTCTAGCAAATTTTATATTTTAATAGAGAAAACATTCACTAGAAGTCAAGAGATGTGGTTTTAATTAATTTTTAGGCAGAGATAACTGCAAGAAATATGTCACCATGTTTTATATCTCTCTTCAAATTCATGAGGTCTAACCTCCTTACTACCAGTCACATATCTCATATTGATATCTTATTAACCTCTTACCATTCCCCAAAAACCCCACATTTCAAGACTCCCTTAATCTGACTATCTCTCATATAAATTTGCCTCTTTGCTGAGAACACAAGCTTTAGAGTACAAGCCTTCAACCATCTTCCTTCCCTTTTTTTGCCAGTGTTGGTCAGCTTTCATTATGGGGACAAAATTGTAACTTAAAGGAAAAAATACTTACTTTGTCTCACAGTTTCAGAGGTTTCAGTACATGGCCACTGGTTCCCAGGAAGAAATATCTTGCAGAAGGGCATGACAAAGGAAAGCTGCTCAATTCATAACAGCCAGAAAACAGAGAACAGAAAAAAGCCAAACAAGGGGCCAGGGACCAGATAGAGTCACCATAATCATGTCCTTATGACTCACCCATGAACACCCATAAGTGTCCTTTACTAATCTCCTAGGAAGCATATCTTGAGCCAATGAAGTTGACAATCAAGATTAACTTTCACAGTAGTCACACCATTTCTCCCTCCTCCCTCCCTTCCTTCCTTCCCTCCTTCCTTCTTTCTTTTCTTCCTTCCATCCTTCCCTTTTTCCTTTCTTCTTTCCCTTCTTCCTTTTGCCCTTCCCTTCTTCACCATCTTCTAATTCTACTCCTTTTTTCCTCCCCCTCCTCCTCCTCCCTGTTTCTGTCACCCTCCCTCCCTCTGTCCCTCTGTCCCTCTGTCCCTCTTTCTTTTTGTTTCTCTGTGACTTTGCTCTTATTTTCAGAATCTTAAACAATTCATCCACTCAGCAATGTTCTGTAACAAGAACTTACGTGCTGCTTTTGTTCACTGTGCTAATGCTTCACTCGGGCCTGTAGCTATTGCCTGTGCTCAGGTGACTGCTCGACTCTGCACATAGACATGTTAAACATTGAAGGAGTGTCTGTCTAAAACCTGGCAATGCAAGACTGATTAGTTTTAAATTTACATAACCTCTCATGGCCTGCCTCAAGACTGAAGATAGCAAGACAAAAGTAACTAATATATTTTCAAGAATTCAGGAACATCAGGTTTTAAAGGCAAGTCACCTCACAATGGAACCAAGACTGTATCTTAAGTATAAGCAGTGATCTCATGGTAGAAAGTGAGTTGCTTCCTCAAACCAAATGGTTTCCCTGGAGCCAGTAGAATATCACAGAATCACATCTGAGATAAAGACATAATGACCACCGTTTGACCAAGACTGCTTGACATGCAGACTTCTTGGTCTCTGCTTTTGTCCTTGTCCTATATAATCCCGAATCTCCTGGCAGTACCCTGAAATCAGGGCTTAGGATGCTCTTATCCTTGTTTTTTTCCACTGTGGCCATGTTGAGTACATTTCTTTCTTGGTTCACCACTGCTTGTTTCTCTTTAATTGGTTGCACACAGAAGTAATGGAATCTGGTCTTTTGAAGTCACCCCAGAATCAATCCTCTTCTGTTGCTCTCTGGTTAGAGTCCTAGTTTTTATTTTAGTCCCAATCATATCCATGTTTAGTCATATCCTTGTTTCCATAATCATTTCCTCTGTTTCTAAGGTGTCATTGATGACTCAATCATCTCTGATCCTTTAGCACTCAGTTCAGAGGTCTACGACAGTGGAGTCTGGTAAAGTGATTATTTTCATGTGCTTAATTGAATGTAGTCCTCCTTCTACTAAATTATGAGTTCCTCCAGGGAAGGAAACATGTCTTCTCTCATTTGTATCTGTAATTTCAGTGCACAGAACATAGGGTAACAGGCACTTACTAAATTTTAACTAGAATTGAAAGGTTTGTCACTTGAGTCTAAGGAGAAAGTGAAAACATAGTGCCTCCCCCCAGAATAAATCTTTTTGATTTTACTTCTACATTTTAAAGAACATTGATATCATAAATTATCCTTTATTTACATCTTCTGTGGAAAATAGATGTCTTTCTTGAGGGTGAACAGAAAGGGAAACAAAAAATAGTAAAGTGTGCAAGTTTGCTCTCATTAAATTAATAAATGGTAGTGGCAGATATAATAGTCATTTTGGACTCATACCATGCTGCTGGTCTTCTGGCTTGTATATGGGAGACATAGAACACAGATACCCTGATATAGACAAACACACACACACACACACACACACACACTTCACTCCTTGCCTTGCCATTCTGCATTCTTGCTTCTTCCTTTTGTTAACCCCTTTTAGAGCAAGACTAGTTTTGTATTGATATTTCTTTTGCTAAGGAGAAATGTGAAATGGAGATTGGATTTGATTTATTTATCTTCTTAAACTTGTTACTGTCTTAGTTACTTTTCCCTTGTTGCTGAGACAAAATACCTGACACCTAAAGTTAAAGGAGGAACATTTTATTTTGGCTCACAGTTTGTAGAGGTTTCAGTCCATATTTGGCTGGCTCCAAGGGAGGGTGGAAAGCCGGAGGGACATGGGAGAGGAGAAACAGACCATGGCAAAGCAGGGCAGGTAGAAGGCAACATGTAGCAATCAGTAAGCCACAAGTGACAGATAAAAACAGCAGTCTTTCTGTTCCTTATATCCTTATCCAGGCTACCCGGCCGGAGTGGGGTGGCACTCACACCCTTAATCCTAGCATCACACTATGAATCAATCCCAGCATCACATCCTTGATCCCAGTATTACACACTAGATCAAACCACCTCCAAAAAGCTCCACTCATGATGGCATGAGGCTTTGGCAGGACACCTAGATACAAATCACAACATTATCCTAATACTTTACTTTTATTTTACCTATAGGCAAGATTTGGCTATAACAGAAATTAGAATATTTTTCTACTTTATTTGCATAGGCAAAAACTAATGATTTCTGATTTTGTATAAGCCTTATGTCGAAGTATACTTACCATCACCTCTATATTTCTTGGTATAGGGCAGTTGTAGATTTACTCTTTTCCCTCAAAAGTTTCAATAGTTTTGGTGTATGAAATGAACTGACAAAATAAAGATTAACAGAGAAAAATCATTCAAATTTATTCATGTGTATAAGCACAGAAACCATCTGTGAGACTCCAGGAGGAGATGGCTGAGCCTTAAAGAGAGCCAAACAAACACAAGGGTCTTCCATTTCTGTAGGGAAAAAGAAATGGCACAGACTATGGAAAGTGATGAAGGGGTTGAGGTGCACAGCCAGCAAGAATTGTTTTGTTATGGCAGATGAAGCCTATCACCTGTACAAATCTTGGCTGGGCCAGAGTGTTAGACCCCTTATCTATTCCCATAAAAAGATCTTTCCTAGTCAGAAAGGAAGACATCAGACCCATAAGCTTTGCCTGAATTCACTGGTAGATATGCAGAGAGATGTAAATTTCTTTTTACAATAGAACAGCTTTTCAGAGCCATTTCTGTGTCTGGGTAAGTCTTTGATTTCTCTGAATGACCAACCTGAAATATGGCAAAGAAATAGAGTTGGAATGGAATATTTTACTTCCTCACTCTGCTCAAGGCAAGGTGTGGGGCTGGAATAGAAGAGAGAAATATTTTTCTGAAAAGATATCCTCACACTCTAACACTGCATCCTTAAGTAACATTTTACAAATATTTTCTACTACTCTTTCTCAATGTTATTTGATATATCTAATGCTATAAAATTATTTTGATATCCTCACCTCAAGATAGTTTATAACATTTTTCATCTAGCATTTAATAAGCATGTGTCATTCAGTTTTCAAACGACTTTGTCTACTGCATATTGATTCATAAAAATGCTGTGAGATTGGTATATAGTTTTAAACTTTTAATAATGTTGAATGGATATTCAATTCTGGGCTTTGTATAAATGCTTTATCTTATTATTAGTAATAACTAAAATTTGTTGAGCTCCTTTACCTGAAGCTTTGTGCCAAATATCCTACATATGTTTATGTATTTAAACCTACATTCGTTGATAAGATAGTTACTATTTTTGTTTTTGTTTGTTATTGACTGAGTGCTCGTGCTTCCTTAAAATTCATATGTTAAAATTCAAACCCCCAATGTGATGGTATTAGGAGGAGGGGACTTTGGGAGGCAATAAAGTATACACAAGGTAATGAGGACAGTGCCGTCATAATGGGATTAGTCCCTTATGAAAAGGACCAGACAGCTCCCTGGCTCTCTTACCCCATGTGAAAACGTCACAGGAAGATGGCAATCTGAAACAAGATGGTGATCTGGTGAGGAAGAGCTTCACTGCAGCTAATTCTGTTTTTACCTGAATCTTGGACTTCCAGCATTCAGAACTATGAGAAATATAGTTCTGTCATTTGCAAAACATGCACTGTACCTTGAGACCATATTCTTAAGTGAACAAAATTGGACATACATATTCAAATATTCCAGGGATTCTCTGGTGTGATAAACCAAAAGTGTAAATAAGGACCAAAAAGTATAATAGATATTGTGAAATAAGAAGAAAATGTTCAAATGAGAATGAGGAATCAGGGAGAGGGGAGGGGGAAAGGAAGGAAGGAAGGGTATAGAAAAAAAGAGAAAAAAAGCAAAAAATGGAAACAAAGCTCTTGTGAATCAGGAGGGGAAGAGAGGAAGAGGGAAATGGAAAAAAAGAGGAATCAAGATACATCATGTACACATACAAATTTCCTATGATGAATGTAATCATTATGTATATCTAAATTGTACTAATAAAATTAATTCATTAAAAAATAAATTCTTCCTATAAAAACAATCCCCCCAAGAAACCTACCCACTGTTTTTGTTACAGCAGCCTGAACTGAGTAAGATCCCACTGTACACATGCAAAAACTGATGTTAAAAGAAACTGAAATGGAGACAACAGCCAGTAACAGCATCGTGATGTGTACACATCTGTTTGATTCCACAGTTGGTGGTCTTCAATGATTATATGCCCCAGCTTTGCCTGTCAGGCAAGGTATATTATTTGACTACTTTTATTGCCTCCACTTGTTTACTTCCTTGAGAGCTTAGACCCTTGTAATCTTTCTTCCGTCCTCACTGCTGTTTTGAAACTTCTCTTGCATAGATAGACAGAAACAGTCTCCTGAGCAAATTAACGACATAGCAATCCAATTATTTAAATACAGGATGACAGAAAGTTGCATGTTTTTCTTTAATTTTTATAAGATAATTTAACAGGAAATATAAAAATGATAATTTTATCACAGTTATTCAATACAAGAATTGATTTGTTGAAATGACACCTGCCTGAATGATACTCAGGATAGTAAACAAATAAACACACAGCCCCAGTGAAACTTGAAGTATACTGTTAAGTGGTTTATTTGGTGTTCCTCTGTCATTATCCTTGATCTTGTTTCATGCTGCATATGTACGAAATTGACATAGAAATGCTTACTTCACAGGCTTATTTTAAGGATTCTATATGATCTGAATGTGAAGTGTCTACTGTATTTGGAATCAAGAAAATTTACTGTCATTAAGGACTATAATAATAATAATAATAATAATAATAATAATAATGAGTTTCTTAGTTTCTTAGTTACTTTTCTGGTTGCTGAAACAAAATACCTAACATCCAAAGTTAAAGGAGGAAAGCTTTATTGTAGTTCACAGTTTGTAGAGGTTTCAGTTTATAGTTGGCAGGCTTCAAGGCAAGATGGAATGTCAGAGGAGCAAACCATAGGAGAAACAGTTCATGGTAGGCAGAAGTCCATAAGGCAGCAAGATGAGAAGTAGTGAAGCAGCAAGCACCAGGTGAAGAGAGAACCCCTCTTTCTGTCTCTTATATTCTATCCAGGCTACACAACCTTAGAACAAGTAGCACTCATAGCCATGGTGTACCTTCCCATTATCCACACCCAGAACTATGCCAAAGCAATCAGTGGACTAATTTAGTAATCACACACCCTTAATACCAGTATC